AATGGGATTTTAATGTGCAAATACCGTCCTTCAGACGAGCCTGCTTGTAATACCTGGAGTGTACTATATCAACTAGTTGTACCAAAATGTTGGCCAAGTATATCTTCTGATGTTGCTAAATTCTGTAAATCATGTGCTATATGTCAGTTAGTTGACAAGCCAAATCAGATAATTCCTCCTGCCCCTTTGGAACCTATTCCAGTAATGAATGATCCTTTCAGCAAAGTTATTATTGACTGTGTTGGGCCTATGCCAAAAACCACGCCAGGAAATCATCTTATTAACTATTATGTGTTGTAGTACTCGGTATCCAGAAGCAATTCCTCTACGCAGTATCTCGGCAAAAACTGTTGTTCCAGCCCTGATTAAGTTTTTCACTATACTTGGATTCCCAAAGGTATTGCAATCTGACCAAGGATCAAATTTCACTTCTAAATTATTCAAGAATGTCATGAATGACAGGGGAGCGATGCAACAGTTTTCAACCATATATCATCCTGAAAGTCAAGGTGCTCTTGAACGTTTTCACCAAACCTTGAAGTGTATGTTAACTAAATTTTGTAAAGAGAATAACAAGGATTGGGATGACAGTGTGCCTTTTGTGTTGTATGCTGCTAGGTCAGTAAAACAAGAAAGTTTGTGGTCCCACAGATATGTTGTAGAAGAGTTTGATTAATGAAGAAAGTGAATATAACCTTTGTGAATATGTAACAAAATTAAGAGAAAGGTTGTATCAGGTGCGTGAGTTTGCATAAAAAATTTAAATGTATCACAGACAAAGATGAAAAAGGTTCATGATAAGAATGCTAAGTTTAGGCATTTTGAGGAAGGTGAAGAAGTGCTTTTATTCTTGCCTTGTAGAAAACAACTTCTTCAAGCTAAATTTGAAGGTCTTTATAAAGTCCTTAAAAAGGTAAATTATTTAAATTATATAATTGGTACACCAGACCGTAGGAAAAAGAGAAAAGAATGGTGCACATAAACTTGAAACATTTTGAAGGAAGGAAAATGCCAGTATGTGCAAGTGTTTTAGAGGAATTGTGCATTAAAGATGATAATTTTGTGATTTAAGATGCTGAAAGGGAAAACCATGACTTGTGATTGAGGATGTTGAAGTAAAGTTAAAGGACAGTGACATTTTAGGTAATCCTTACAGTAAGACCTCACATCTTTCCTCTGATCAGGAAGAGGATGTACTAAAATTGCTACAAGACATTTCAGATCTTTTTACAAACACACCAAGAGTCACAACACTGGTCAAGCATGATGTGGTTAGTTCCTGGATCAACACCTGTGAAACAAACCCCATACAGAATGCCTCCAGTGAAATCTCAAATACTGAAGACTGAGATAGAATACCTCTTAGCTGCTGGAATTATAGAACCAATAAAAGTCAATGGACGTCACCCTGTGTGTTAGTGAAGAAAGATTCTACATGGAGATTTTGTATAGACTACAGGAATATGAATGCTGTAACAATTGCAGATTCTTTCCCTCTTGCTAGGATTGACGACATTATTGACTCCGATTGTCCGAGCATATTTAGATGATTTAGTGGTGTTTACGACAACGTGGTCTGAACATGTGCAGGTACTGAAACAGTTATTTGAAAGATTAAGACAATCAAATCTGACAGTGAATTTAAACAAGTGTGAATTTGCTCATGCACAGCTGAAGTTTCTAGGACATGAGATGGATGCAAGTGATGAGGCTGCTGGAGCTGTTCTGTTGCAGTTATCAGATGATGATGTGCTCCATACTATCTGTTATGCCAGTGCCAAGTTTAAGAGTTATCAGCGTGCCTATAGTACAGTGGAAAAGGAGGCATTAGCTTTCTTGATGGCATTGGATAAATTTGAAGCCTATTTGGATAATACTGGTAATGAAATTATCGTATTTAGTGACCATAACCCCCTTCAGTTTGTGAATAGTATGGAAAATAGAAATCAGAGATTGACTAGGTGGTTCCTAGCCATGCAGCCATACAATCTAACAATTAAACATATAAAAGGTCATGAAAATTTGATTGCAGATGCATTGTCACGTCCTGCTTAAGACATTTTTGTACTGAATGCAAGCTTCACATGAAATTAACTAGTTAAAAAACCCTTCGTGTTTTTGTTTTAAGGGTGTGGGTGTTAAGTAGTTAATAAGGATTTCATATTAAAGGAAACACTATTTTTCTGAATCTGTTAATGAATGTGGATCTTGCATTTGTAGTAGTATTTATGTAATATATATATATATATATATATATATATATATATATATATATATATATATATATATATTATGTGAATTAATAATTATTGATAATTCTGACGATCTCAGATGAGTTTAAAACTATATTTTTTGATAATGAGATAAGAGACGTCAGATGTAAATAGTGTCGACCCGGCGGACTCGAACGGATTTTGGTGAAGGTGAGACGCTCGGTCTTGTGGTATTTGTTTTTTTTATGACTTACTCCTAAGTTTAACGTTGTTGAAGTTTAAATTGT